AAAAACAATTATTCAATATAATATGTATTATATAATAATAAAAATATAACAAGTTTCTTTTTTAACGAAATATTGAAATAGTCCTAAATATACATTCAATAAAGTATTGAAAATATAGCGGTATCATTGGCGTTAGGATTTTTCAAATGTCTATGTAATAAAAAATTGCGTTTAAGTGTATAAAAAAATAAAAAAAATGTGTAAAGTGAACTGTCAATGAATTGTCATCAGTATTTATCTTTTGCAATTAATTATTAGAATGCCCGTTCACATTCGGTTGGCAGGCGGTTCCGAGCCAGTACAGTTACACCGGCGTCAGTACGGGCTAGGATCCGCGCCGGTTGGAAATTTCCGCCTGGGGAGTTGACTGCCTGTTTTTTTATATTTTTAATGTCAGTTTACCATTTTTATGGAAATAAATTGACAATATAAATTGGTTTCAAACTATGTTTTATGTTCTTTATTAATTTTTTTGTGATTTTGATGTGATATGTGCCAAAATTATTAAAAATGGTTTCACTTGTAAACATTGCGACACAATCATAGTCTGAAGGTGCATAAGCATAAATTTTGTTTCAATATACCAGAAATATTAAAAACATTGAAGAATTTAGAATAACTTTTACAATTTTTTAGGAGTGGTCCACTCAAGGTTACACTTTTTTCATTCCTTAAAAATTAGCTATTTTTTAAAGTCAATTTTTTTTCCAAATAAAAAAAAATCAAAGCCATTAATATGGTATAAACACTTATCTAGGGATCTAAACTAAAGCTTGGAATAGAAACCTCCGATTAATTTGCTTTCATAAAGAATTTTTTAGAAAAAAAGCTTAGGTGGTCCACTCAAGGTGACATTACCCTAATGTAAGAATCAAATATAACATTAATTTTCACGTCTTCAAATACAATAGTTTCCTAAGTGGGCAGTTCCATACGAAAAGCAAATGGTGGATCACCGATTTTTCTTAAAGTTTGTAATTTTGTAGTACTTGGGGTACTAAATAACTGTGCCAAACAGTTTTGCAAAAAAAAATTTTTTTTGCAAGATATTTAGATTTGAAAAATCGGAAACTGAAAAAAATGACTTTTTTTGAGAATTTTTATTTCGAAAACTATTGATTCTACAAGAAAAAGTCATTTATTCAAAATTGTAGAGAAAATGTCAATTTTTTATAATATTAAAAAAAAAGTTAAGAAAAATTAATTTTTCAATAATTTGTTTAAACAATAATTTTTTATTGTTAAAAAAAAGCAAAGGACATCATGGAATTTTCTAGAAAAATTATTTTCTCAAAATTTGAACCTTCCTTAATAAGTGGTTAAATTTTTAAAGAAGTGATTTTTGATGTTTTTGAGAAAAAAATTTTTGAAGTTTGCGCTACGAGTTTTTTTGCGTTGCGCTTACTAAGCAGCGCCTATATCAGTGTATTTTAAAAGATGATATGACCTTTACTGCTCGCCCCTAATACATTTATTAATTATATACAGTATAACAATATATTTTTAACTTTTTTATAAACATTATTTTCCTTTTTTAACCCATTAATGCCCATGGGCACAGGATAGGATAGGCATAGGGTCTAATGATAATTTTTGACGTTAAAAATTAAAAAAAAAAATTTTTTAAACAATTTGTCATAAACAAATAAAGAAAAATTGATTTTCATAAAAAACTGATAGCGCTATTCGATTCGACGCAAAAAACTACTACGAGAACGTATATTACATAATTTTTAAAAAAAGACGAATTGTTGTAAAAATGTTATTAACAATTAGCCTGTATTTATACTGTATGAAGTAGAAGGATCGTTTTTGAAGTTAAAAATTTTTTCAAACAAAATTAGTTTAATTAGGAGAGTTTTTGACGTTACAAATTTTTTAAACAAAATTTTTACCTGAAAAACGATCCTTCTACCTAATACAGTATAAATGCAGGCTAATTGTTTATAACATTTTTACAACAATTTGTCTTTTTTTAAAAATTATGTAATATACGTTCTCGTAGTAGTTTTCAATTTTTCTTTATTTGTTTATGACAAATTGTTTAAAAAAATTTTTTTTTTAAATTTTTAACGTCAAAAATTATCATTAGACCCTATGCATATCCTATCCTTGCCCATGGGCATTAATGGGTTAAAAAAGGAAAATAATGTTTATAAAAAAGTTAAAAATATATTGTTATACTGTTTATAATAGTAATATATACGTAATATAATTAATAAATGTATTAGGGGCGAGCAGTAAAGGTCATATCATCTTTTAAAATACACTGATATAGGCGCTGCTTAGTAAGCGCAACGCAAAAAAACTCGTAGCGCAAACTTCAAAAATTTTTTTCTCAAAAACATCAAAAATCACTTCTTTAAAAATTTAACCACTTATTAAGGAAGGTTCAAATTTTGAGAAAATAATTTTTCTAGAAAATTCCATGATGTCCTTTGCTTTTTTTTAACAATAAAAAATTATTGTTTATTGTTTATTTATACCGAAATAAATGCAAAAAGCCATGATTTTTATAGTTTTTACCATGAAAATGAGCTAATCGTCAGTTTTAACGATGTTTTTTCGACTCAGAGCATCAAATTGGAAAAAAATAAAGGTTCAGGACTTCCGAAATTTCGGCAAAATTTAAAGATTTGAATATTAAAAATCGATCTTCTCTTACAGTTTTTAATATTTTTTTACGAAATTTTTTTTCCATGCATATTTTACCATTCTAAACAACTTCTCGCATGTATTTGCAATAATATGCAATAGGTCAGAAGAAAAAAATTCTAACCTCTTCAAAAATTAAAATTAAATATTTTTGACCATCTTATATGTTTTCAGGTTAAAAATGATGCAAGAAAAAAAATATTACTTCGTTTAATAATTTTATTTTAAAGGGGTCAAAATTAAGGTGGGGTCTCCCCTTAATCATTTGCACATTATTTATTAATTCTTTTCGGCAAAGCCTAAATTTACCTAAAAAAGAAAGAGAAGAAGAAAAAATTGGACAAGTGCGAGTTGTACTCGCACTGCAATGGCGGGTTCCGCACACAAATATTAAAACAATACTTGCAACATTGATTGGTAATTGGTAGAATTAAAATAAACAATTATAAAAATATATTAAAATCATTTGATAAAAAAAATAACTAAAAAAAATTAAAGTATTGTATATATCTAATATTGTAAACAATAATAAGCAGAGGAACAAAATTTTCAAAATTTATTATAGTTCCTCTGCTTATTATTGTTTACAATATTAGATATATACAATACTTTAATTTTTTTTAGTTATTTTTTTTTATCAAATGATTTTAATATATTTTTATAATTGTTTATTTTAATTCTACCAATTGCCAATCAATGTTGCAAGTATTGTTTTAATATTTGTGTGCGGAACCCGCCATTGCAGTGCGAGTACAACTCGCACTTGTCCAATTTTTTTTTATTTTTAGTTAAGAAATTAAAGTCAGAAAACAATCTCTCATTTATTCTCTTAAAATTTCACTCTCTTCCTTAAAATATTTAATGCCACGTGTTTAAACTAAAAAAAATTTTTTTTTCTTTGAAAAAAAAAAATTAAAAAAAAATTTTTTTTGATTTTTTATCAAAAAGTTTCTTAAATAAATTTTTTGTCGTCAGACTGTAATAATACACTAGGATACCAATTTTCAGCTCATTAGGTAAAATAATGTAAAAGTTAGGAAAAAAAATTTTTTTTTAAAAAATTTTTTAGTTTTTCCTTGACAACGCTATGGCCATCATTACATATCAAGTTCTCTATATTTTTCCTGTAATATTCGAGTAAAAATACACCAGCATGCAAAATTTCAGCTCTCCATGTCGAATAGTTTAGAAGTTAAGGGGGGGGAATGGTCACTTTTTATGCATTTTTGGCCAAAAATCTTGTTATTTCCTTGACAACGCTATGCCCATCACGTCCAATCACATTCGCTATATTTTTCCTGTAATCTACGAGTGAAAATACATATCTGGACCAAATTTGAGCTCTTTAGGTCAAATAGTTTAGCCGCTAGGGGGGGGGGGGGGGGACACGATTTGGCTACGGACAACAGAGTCTCACCAATAGGGTTCCGCCGATACACCGTAGGTGTACGGAACCCTAAAAATAAAGAATGTAAATGTCGGGAATTATAAAACAATTCTGAGATAGCCAAGAATAGGAAACAATAATAGAATCTTTGTTTTTGATGTATATTTGTTCTTTCTCTTACGTCTGAAGGATCAAATTTAGAGGGTCAAAATAATGATGTTCAACCTAACTATCGTAATAGTTTAGTAGTCCTTCTGAATTTATTTTTTGTTTGTCCCAAGAACTCCCCTTATATGTTTTGTTTAACTATCTTAGAGGGATAAAACTTGCTCGAGAAAAGTGCACACAAATTTCAACAGAACACATGAAACAAGCCACGTAACTTTAATTAAAATCTCAATAACGAAAGAAAACATCATTTTTTTCATTTTAATTTTTAAAAGTATTCATCTTAAGCTAAAAAAAGGGTTCTTTCTCAAAAAAATGTTTAAAAAAATGTTTCATTTTCAAAAATGAGTCAAATTTTAAAGGTTTTCATAATTTTTCTCCGCATTTGAAAAAACAGGAAAAAACTTTCCGAAAGCATATAGGACAAACATGTTTTTACATCTTTATATAATAGCTATGATGTTTTAAAAAATCTACTAATCAAACTGTATCAAAATTCTAAACCCCCTTCCCCTCGTACATTTTCAAATAAAATTTCATAATATTTTGTTATTTAAGTAGTCACTAATTACTAAAGTTTGTAAAAATTAAAGTCCAATTTGACAACTTTTAGAGATTTTTTAGAGATTAGCACACTTGAAAAAATTTGACCCACAAGCATATTATAGGTCTCAAAAGTTAAAGTCAATAGTATTATTGTTTTTTAATCCATGATGGCAATTCACGACGGCACCCACAAGGAAACATGTATCACATTTTGAAAAATAAGAGATAATCAAATTTAACCTACCGTTCGGTACCGTTGGAGGTTTCTTCGTCTGCACTCGTGCCGTTGCATTGTTCACCTGTCGATTGGAAAAAAAAATGTTAAAATAATTAACAATATTATTTTTAAATAACATTCGATTAAGTTGTACACATAAAAACTTCAATATTAAAAATCTCTGCTGTGATCAAATTCTTTAATATATTTCATAAACACAGCTCCATAAAAACAATGTTGGGAATCCAGAATCATATACATCCGGAATCAGTAGAGTAAAGTGCGGATAGATGCCCCCCAATTCGAAAATCACATCTAAATTCAACAAATATTAATATTTTTAGTTGACTATTCGATTTTTACACACTATTACTATTTATCATTAACACACGGAAAGAAAAGGTCTGGAAGAGATATCCATAAAAATATTGTTGAGCAGAATATTGTTGTGTTATCCAATTCAATGGAAGAGACAACTTTCAGAATGGAAGCACATTCCATATTCAATGGATGAGGGAGCCATATTATATTGTTGAATCAAATATGGATGTGACATCCATAGGCATGGTTGGGCTTACAATTCATGCTATGGATTTTCACATATGGCTGCCTCATCCATATAAACTTTGGTTGGGAGATCCATAGTTAGTTCAATATTTCGATACATGTTGCGCTCAATTCATTATCATGGCATCCATTTAAAAATGGTCGTCTCAATTTGTTCGTCGCGTCGGTTTCCTGTCACGTCTATATAATCGCGTTGTGAGTTTATTGTGTATAAATAGTGTTACATGGAGAAAAAGGAATAGTTGACACATCCAGATACATGGATATCACAGCCATATTATATTGAAAAATACGGGATATCCATAGTTAAGGTTGCTCCATCCATATTCTATGGCTGGCTGTATATTGTTGGAGCAGCAAAAGATCTATGGTTGGGTGATCCATATAATGGAAATGGGAAACAAAAAAATTAGAATCACTCAATTAATTAAATTCCATGTCACTTGAGATATTTTATACACATTTTTGTTAATTAATACACACCACTTATTGAATAACCGCATATTTACGAAATAAATTATTAACCGATGGGGGAGACACGAACCCTAGACCTAACGCATACTAGACACTAACGCTATCCACTACACTATACACACAACTACAATATCTGAGCATATAATATTCCTTATATACTATACACATATTTCATGAAAATGAATTTACATAAACACTAATAGACAATAACGATAATAAATAATAAACAATTGTAACACTATTTATACACAATAAACTCACAACGCGATTATATAGACGTGACAGGAAACCAACGCGACGGACAAATTGAGACGACCATTTTTAAATGGATGCCATGATAATTAATTTCGCGCAACATGTATCGAAATTTTGAACTAACTATGGATCTCCCAACCAAAGTTTATATGGATGAGGCAGCCATATGTGAAAATCCATAGCATGAATTGTAAGCCCAACCATGCCTATGGATGTCACATCCATATTTGATTCAACAATATAATATGGCTCCCTCATCCATTGAATATGGAATGTGCTTCCATTCTGAAAGTTGTCTCTTCCATTGAATTGGATAACACAACAATATTCTGCTCAACAATATTTTTATGGATATCACTTCCAGACCTTTTCTTTCCGTGTATAATTGTTTATTACTTATTATCGTTATTGTCTATTAGTTTTTATGTAAATTCATTTTCATGAAATATGTGTATAGTATATAAGGAACATTATATGCTCAAATATTGTAGTTGCGTGTATAGTGTAGTGGATAGCGTTAGTGTTTAGTATGCGTTAGGTCTAGGGTTCGTGTCTCCTCCATCGGTTAATAAATTATTTCGTTAATATGCGGTTATTCAATAAGTGGTGTGTATTCAGTAACAAAAATGTGTATAAAATATCTCAAGTGACATTGAATTTAATTAATTGAGTGATTCCAATTTTTTGTTTCCCATTTCCATTACTATGGATCACTCAACCATAGATCTTTTGCTGCTCCAACAATATACAGCCAGCCATAGAATATGGATGCAGCAACCTTAACTATAGATATCCCGTATTTTTCAATATAATATGGCTGTGATATCCATGTATCTGGATGTGTCAACTATTCCTTTTTCTCCATGCATATGTAAGGACCAAATACCTACAATAAATAATTAATTAATCAGAACGAAAATACAAAAGGTCTGCATTTGGCCATATATCCCACCTGGGTGGGTATAAGACACCCCCCGCGGTAAGTTATTATTATTTATTACAATAATTATTATAAAAAATGGAAAACGCCCGTCTAATATGTTTCTCTGATTAATTTGAAACAAGAAAATAATTGCAAATATTTTCTTACGTGTTAAATATCCTTGATTCTTGTAATAAGGAATTTTGTCCAGCAGTTTGAAAATTTTTAGGCATTTTCAGCAATCTGAAATTTTTACATTATTATAACTAATAACCCCGGGGTGCCAGCGAGCTGGAACTTCATAGTAAAATTGTTATGGCTAATAGGTATAAAAAAAACTAATAATCCATAAATATACACTACCGTCCGTGAGTATCAGGACGCCCCTTTTTTCATGAGTGGAAAAATGCTTAAAACGTAGAAAATAAGAATGACAAAAATTTTTCGTTTACCTGATCGAAGAATTTTCGTTGACTATTCTGTCAGATACAGAAAAAATACTGGATTTTGCATGCTTTTCGTAATTTTTGAATTTCTCAAAACTAATTAACTTTTATTAGCGCTCTTGGTCTTGTTTTAATCTCTATTTAATGTAGAATCCAAATTTTTAACTGGTATTGTGAAATAAATTTTTACAAAAAAATTTGAAACCATAAAAGTAGGATTAAAAAAATTCAAAAAATTATCATGAATATTAAAGTGCCAAAAAGGTCAATGTAAAATATATTCATTTAATAGATACACTAAAATTCAAAAAAGCTTTTTAAATACTTAATTATTTAATTTAAAAAAAATTTTTTTTGTTGAAAAAGTGTCAATCTGTTTTTCAAAAATTTTTTATCCGACTTTCACAGTTTCAATTTTTTTTTTGGAAAAATTTATATCACAATACAATTAATTAATTCAGACTCTACATTGAATAGAGATTAAAACAAGACCAAGAGCGCTAATAAAAGTTAATTAGTTTTCGAGAAATTAAAAAATTACGAAAAGCATGCAAAATCCAGTATTTTTTCTGTATCTGACAGAAAAGTCAACGAAAATTCTTCGATCAGGTGTCAGTCTTTTCATAATTTCATTAGCTTTCAGGAAAAAAATACGAAAAATTTTTGTCATTCTTATTTTCTACGTTTTAAGCATTTTTCCACTCATTAAAAAAAGGGGCGTCCTGATACTCACGGACGGTAGTGTAGTTTCTTTCATATTGGAGATCTGAGAAAGGGGGCATCTATCCGCACTTTACCCTACATATAATAGGCCAGTCGGTGAGTGCAAAAACTGCCCATAAATGCAAACAGAAAAGTCTCAACGGTTTCTGGTAGTTTGGGGGCTCCTTATAAGAGCCCCACAGTTTGCTCTCGATTTCCGGGTGCGAAAAACAATGTAAACAATCGCCAAAGTTTGGAAAACATGGTTTTTCGATGCTCGTTGCTTCCGGTTAAGTTTTAGGGGAAAAAGTTGTTATTGAAAGTTATAGAGCTTGGAAATACCTTTTAAATGATGGGTCATACGTTAAAAAAGGTTAATTAGTTTAGTTGCAAATGAATTTAAACCATTAAAAATAGCACTTCTTTAATTGTTTAATAACATTGTTAATAATTATCGAATTTGTTCATAACTTACCAGGAATGTTCTCCTTGCGTAGCTGAATAAATCCAAAAAAAAATTAACTAGATCGGAGAAATAGTTTATGCATAATTCCATTTGTTAACTAAAAACATGTAATTTTTCAACGGAATTTCCCCACTTTTGGTACATCGAATTTCGATTTTTTCTTTTGGAAAGTACACTTAAGAAGTCAAACTTTCATCCTATTTAAATGGCCAATTGATTTTTTTATCTAAGTGCATAATAAAAAGGGTTAAAAAAGGGTGTGTTTTTTTGTCGTAAACAAATGGAATTACTCAGCCAATTTTCACTTTATCAATTAGCTATAAACGGCATATAATTCCATTTGTTTCCACAAAACTTTTCAAGAAAAAAATCCGACCTAACTTGAAGGGGAGGGGGAGTTAACTTTTTTTTAAAAAAAAATTCCTGACAAGTTAATTATTGATATTTTTTATTGAAACTCGCACGACTTTTAGTTCAAAACATGTATTTTATGAAAAAAAATTGAACTTAACGTTTTGTGCTTTTATTTTTCATTTATATCAAGTGAAAGTACTTGAATATTTTTTTCAACCCTTGGACGGCGGAGTGGGGGAACTCGGTAGGCGGGAATTTCGCCCGCCACAAACAGAATTCAGCCGTCAAATCCACAAAAATGGTCATAACTTCGTTAATTATTGACCGATTTTAATCTTTTTTTTTTTAATTCCATGTATTTTTTTATGCTGAATCCAAATATGAATTTATATATTTTTTAAATAAAATATTTTTTGTAGAAATAAAAATTTTTTTTTTTAACAACAAATTTTTATTATTATTTATTATATTTAACAAAGATTTTTCTTCATACATCTTATTTCATTTAATTTAAAATAATGATATATAAAAAAAAAACTAAAATTATTTACCAATAAGCGTGTAGCATCGAGTTTAAGCGTTGTTTAAGCGTATTTTGCCACTACAACGCTTAAACTCGATGCTACACGCTTATTGGTAAATAATTTTAGTTTTTTTTTTAAATAACATTATTTTAAATTAAATGAAATAAGATGTATGAAGAAAAATCTTTGTTAAATATAATAAATAATAATAAAAATTTGTTGTTAAAAAAAAAAATTTTTATTTCTACAAAAAATATTTTATTTAAAAAATATATAAATTCATATTTGGATTCAGCATAAAAAAATACATGGAATTAAAAAAAAAAAGATTAAAATCGGTCAATAATTAACGAAGTTATGACCATTTTTGTG